TCAGCTGGATCTTCACTCAGGGCGTCGACCCGCGGTGCACCTCAGCCGGTCCGGCGGCCAACAGCTGCAGTGTCCAAATCTTTGATGGCACGAGCCCCGATGCGCCCGGCAACCCTTACTGGAACCAAGGCGCAATCCCGCAGAATCCTTGGCCGCAGGTGCGCTATGTGATTCAAGCTTTCCTCCCAACAGTGGTGAATGACATCGAGGTGACGACCGGACTTACCTCCGCGGACATCGATGGTCGTGTGGTGGTGGTCTACGACTATGACGGCGTCCCCATTGGCATCGCCATCATCCAGCTGCCGGAGGGCGCCCCTGAGCCGGCGGAGGGTGATGACCTGTACGTCTTCGACTTCAGCCCGTACCCTGGCTCCTCCTCGCCCTACCAGCCAACCGGGGTAGTGGAAGTGAAGTCCGCGGACAATGGCGAGACCCAGCTTTCATGGAGCCTCACCGGCCTTGATCCCAGCTGCAGCAGCAGCTGTGCCGCGGCCAATTGCTGTGGCGTCACAATCAATGAAGGCAGAATGCTGCTGACAGTCTTAGAATGTAAGCTAAGGTCACTGACATAGTGGGATTTTCACAGGATTCCTTTATCGGTTTCTCGTTCTGTTTTCCTGTAGGCATGAGCTGCAGCGACGCCGGAGCAACCTATTGGGCCGGAGATGACGGGAATCCTTGGGGTTCCGTCAAGTACGACTCCAGCACGGACCCGGCGAACCAGCTTTTCCTCAGCGTCGACACTGGCCTCGCACGTGCCGACGTCTTGGGCCGGACCATGGTGATCTACGACGCGACTGGTGCTCCCATTGCCTGCGGCATCATCGAGGACGGATTTTCATGTACATGCACTGATACTACCCGGAGCTTCCAATATAGACTGCATTGAAGCCGGTAGCTAGTCACTGGTCGGCCCGAAGGGTATGCTCCAGTTCCCAAACCTGTAATTGTACAAGGGTATGGTGTGAACCACTTGTATATGCAGATTCCCCCAAAATTAGATCCCGTGATGGGGGTCCCCAGAATCAGGACTATGAAACTAACAACCAAAAAACCCTACACCAGGTTTGGGGGTGTACAAGACGGACTCGGGTCTTGGGAAGTACATGGAAGTACTCTTGGGGTATCGTATTCCACCATACATGTACTTTGGACCCTTGGGGTGGGGTTTAGGGTTAAGGGATTACGGTTTAGGGTCGTACTTGGCTAAGGTTCGGGTATTTAGCTGGATGTTAGGTAGCGGTGACATGTTAAGCCTTGTTAGAGTATCCTAAGGGTCCAAGTACCCAATAATCATATACTTACCCCAAACCTGTACTATAATCACTACTACCCAAAACCCAAGTACCTAACTATTGGGTACTTGGACCCTTTGGGGTAGTTCCTGGCTCAAAAGCGTTCCATCTAATTTTCGGCCATTGGTCAGAAGGAGGGTCCTCTTATTACCCGCAATCACCGCAAACCTTCATGCTTTCCTGTCTCCAGACGCGCTCTCTCTTCTCGTTGCTTGTGATAGCAGCGGCCCTAAGTTTTAGTCAGTGGCTGGCTTAGCGAGATCTCAAGCACTAGATAGATACCTGCATGGGAAATACTAGCCCACAACATCTTCCAGCGACGGGCTAAAGTTTCGTCTCTTGAAACATGTCTGAAGTCGAAACTGTTCCCTGCAAATAGCCACATCCCCAAGCCTAGTATACCCAGAGGGTCCAAGTACCCAATAATTGGTATTTGGGTTTTGGGTAATAGCAATTATAATACAGGTTTTGGGTAAGTATATGATATATTGGGCACTTGGACCCTTAGGGATAGGGTACCTTGTTGGCGGGGGTGTAGGGATAAGGGTTTCCCAACATTAAGGGTACCTTTTCGGGGGGACCCATAATAAGCATTGTCGATGATTCACAAGATGGCAAAGTGGGAGAATGAGTACGGAAATTGTGGCCATGGGCTAGATAAAGAACATCTCACCGCTGTTCATACAGACTACCCGAAACTCTACAAACCTGAGATCCTACATAAACCCGAACCCTAAGCCCTAAACCCTAAATCCTAATCCCTAAACCACATAAACACTTCGGAATCCTTTGGAGCAGTTTGCGTTTCCGACATGCTGAGCAACCCCATCATACTCATGTGTTCACTGCGACCCGTATATCATATAATATGCCCCCCCAACATACAAAGTCATTTATCTAACCCCTACACAGGTAACCCTATATAAACCCTAAACGATATGCATGAAGGGTTAGGTTTTGGGGTCTGTTTAAGATCCCCTAGGGGTCCAAGTAGCTAATAATCATATACTTGCCCAAAACCTGAACTATAACTACTAGTACTCAAAACCCAAAGTAAAAGTACGTAATCATTGGGTACTTGGACTCTTAGGGATCAGTACGAGGGGTTACCTGTAGTCTGCGCAGGTTCCAGGGTTCGGACCCTAAACCCTAAACCCTGTTTCGAGCTGACACTCCAGGGTTTAAGGTTTAGGGTTTAGGGTTTAGGGTAGGGGGATGATACTCGAATCCCTCATGTGAGCTTATAGTCTAAACTCCTTCAAGGGGTTATCTAGGGGCGTATAATAGAGCTTATTAAGAGGGATACTAGGACGGTAGGCTATGGCTCAAATGTTTTTCGAGCTCACACTCCTACTTTAGACGGATAAAATCCTGCATGACCTAACTATCGGGGGTTTCCCAGAATTAGGGGTACTCTTGAAAGGGGGCTTAAAGGGGATATATAGGGTTTAGGGGTTCCCAAAATGAGGGGTACCGTTTTGGGTTCCAATAATATGGATTATACTTTTTAAGGGTCAATATTGGGGGTCCCCCTGTGTATGGAAACTACCATATTCCTAAACCCGGAGAAATGTCGTAGTTTTACATGGACCTCCACGTACCCTGATCAGTCAAGGGCTTACTTCAATATTCACTTTTCGGTGATGATATTCCACATTAAGGGTACCGAAAGGGTCTTGGTAGTCAGGCATGTCACATGATGTCCATCTGGCATATCTAGGCGGACACCCGAAACTTTCTTGTCTGGGGAGTGACCCAAACCTTAAACCCTATACCCTCCTAACAATAGCGAATATTCTGTGGCAAACTATCTGGAGTATTCAGTATTGATTGTGTGTTGAGGTTGAGGATGCGTACAAAAACAAAAGACACATTATGTAAGCTGATAGATAAATTTTTAGATGGACAGATCGATAGTTAAATGTGTGTACATATATATATGCTTTCGAGGAAAGCCGATTTTTTTCATTGTGGAGTCTCCCAGGTCAAGGCCCAGAAAGTAAGTTGCTCCAAACAGGGCCTGAAATTTCGTACTCACTCGACCCATCAGCCATCGCATGGGGTTTAGGGTTCAGGGTTTTAGGCTTAAGGTTAGGATACCAAATATCCTCCTAGGGCTGTTTTGTTAAGGTCCTCGATCGTAAAGGAAGGAGCATTTCAGTACACATTTGATGGAGATGATTTTGGGGACACGTATTTTGATCAACTTCCATATAATGTCCACTTAGATCAAAACTAGGGCTTCCACAGAAGAAAGAAGCAATGCGGCTTGGGGTAGTGTGACCCCTAAACCCTAAACCCT